ACCTGGTCAAAGCGATAAAATGTTTTCTCGTTTAGATGGTCATGTGCAACCCAGGTGTGAAGCCGTCGTCGATGTTGCATTTATTTTGGATTCTTCGCACAGTTTAGAGGCGAGCTATCAAAAAGAAAAGAACTTCTTAAAGAAATTGGCTGCTGTGTTTGGAATCAGCTCAAACGGTTCGAGAGTAGGAGTCATTACATTCAGCTATCGCGCCGAACTCAGTGTCAAACTCAACAGTTTTACTGACTTGAGTAGCTTTAACGAAGCTGTAGACAAAATTCCGCTCATGAATTTCACAACGAGGATCGACAGAGCACTCCGTCTGGCACAAAAAGATATGTTCACTTCTGCAAACGGAGGTAGGGTCGGAGTTAGTAAATTGATCATCTTGTTGACCGACGGCTCTCAAACCCCAGGTGGGGATGCAGAAGACCCAGAAAGGATAGCAGATGAGCTGCGCAACGACGGCGTTGTGATTCTCGGTGTTGGTATCGGTTCAGCAGTAAATGAAACTGAGCTGAGCCACATTACTGGCGGTAAAAAGAACGCATACACTGCTGCTACGTTTGATTCTCTAACTGACAACGAGTTTATTCATAAGATCAAGAATGGCTCTTGTGAAATAGGTATTTTTTTGTTATTTCTATTAGCAAAAATGTCACGTTTTGTTTGTGCATTAAAAAAAGAAGAAAAACTTGTTTGTGCTGCTGTTTGATTGTTTTTAATAAGAGGAAGTGCGTTGTCATCGTATTTTTTTTGTTTTGTTTTGTTGTTTGTTTGTTTTTTCGGTTCTTTTTGCGGTTGTACTGGTTTGTAGCTTAGTTTTGCAATGAACGATTAGTCTTGGTGTCGTGTCTTGTAATGGAGGTTGTTTTGCGCTTGCCTTGTACAATTTGGTTTGTTACACCAACTTATGCGGTGTGTTGTTTTGTGCTTTATAAAATGATTACGAGGATACGTCGTAGCATCTTTGAAAGGAGAGAAGCCGATAGTTGAAGAAAAAAGAAAGAAAAACAGTTTCATTTTTTCTTTATCTATGCAATTTGAAGTTTTGTGTTGAGCAAAGAGTGTAATTTGATCAAAATTGTTTCGTTTAGTGTCGTCCGTCTTGCAATCGACGCCAACGATAGCTACTACTCAAGCCTCTTCTACTGGTATGTCTGAACTTTATTTTTATTACTGTTTGTTTTTTGAATCGCTTTGGTCTCGTTTTTATGTTGGCTTTCTTCACGAAAACAGTTGAATGGGCTGTCTTCTGATTAAAGCGGCAGTAATTTTGTTTATGTTGTGCTGTGTGTATGTACAATGTTTGATTGATTTACCTGGTCAAAGCGATAAAATGTTTTCTCGTTTAGATGGTCATGTGCAACCCAGGTGTGAAGCCGTCGTCGATGTTGCATTTATTTTGGATTCTTCGCACAGTTTAGAGGCGAGCTATCAAAAAGAAAAGAACTTCTTAAAGAAATTGGCTGCTGTGTTTGGAATCAGCTCAAACGGTTCGAGAGTAGGAGTCATTACATTCAGCTATCGCGCCGAACTCAGTGTCAAACTCAACAGTTTTACTGACTTGAGTAGCTTTAACGAAGCTGTAGACAAAATTCCGCTCATGAATTTCACAACGAGGATCGACAGAGCACTCCGTCTGGCACAAAAAGATATGTTCACTTCTGCAAACGGAGGTAGGGTCGGAGTTAGTAAATTGATCATCTTGTTGACCGACGGCTCTCAAACCCCAGGTGGGGATGCAGAAGACCCAGAAAGGATAGCAGATGAGCTGCGCAACGACGGCGTTGTGATTCTCGGTGTTGGTATCGGTTCAGCAGTAAATGAAACTGAGCTGAGCCACATTACTGGCGGTAAAAAGAACGCATACACTGCTGCTACGTTTGATTCTCTAACTGACAACGAGTTTATTCATAAGATCAAGAATGGCTCTTGTGAAATAGGTATTTTTTTGTTATTTCTATTAGCAAAAATGTCACGTTTTGTTTGTGCATTAAAAAAAGAAGAAAAACTTGTTTGTGCTGCTGTTTGATTGTTTTTAATAAGAGGAAGTGCGTTGTCATCGTATTTTTTTTGTTTTGTTTTGTTGTTTGTTTGTTTTTTCGGTTCTTTTTGCGGTTGTACTGGTTTGTAGCTTAGTTTTGCAATGAACGATTAGTCTTGGTGTCGTGTCTTGTAATGGAGGTTGTTTTGCGCTTGCCTTGTACAATTTGGTTTGTTACACCAACTTATGCGGTGTGTTGTTTTGTGCTTTATAAAATGATTACGAGGATACGTCGTAGCATCTTTGAAAGGAGAGAAGCCGATAGTTGAAGAAAAAAGAAAGAAAAACAGTTTCATTTTTTCTTTATCTATGCAATTTGAAGTTTTGTGTTGAGCAAAGAGTGTAATTTGATCAAAATTGTTTCGTTTAGTGTCGTCCGTCTTGCAATCGACGCCAACGATAGCTACTACTCAAGCCTCTTCTACTGGTATGTCTGAACTTTATTTTTATTACTGTTTGTTTTTTGAATCGCTTTGGTCTCGTTTTTATGTTGGCTTTCTTCACGAAAACAGTTGAATGGGCTGTCTTCTGATTAAAGCGGCAGTAATTTTGTTTATGTTGTGCTGTGTGTATGTACAATGTTTGATTGATTTACCTGGTCAAAGCGATAAAATGTTTTCTCGTTTAGATGGTCATGTGCAACCCAGGTGTGAAGCCGTCGTCGATGTTGCATTTATTTTGGATTCTTCGCACAGTTTAGAGGCGAGCTATCAAAAAGAAAAGAACTTCTTAAAGAAATTGGCTGCTGTGTTTGGAATCAGCTCAAACGGTTCGAGAGTAGGAGTCATTACATTCAGCTATCGCGCCGAACTCAGTGTCAAACTCAACAGTTTTACTGACTTGAGTAGCTTTAACGAAGCTGTAGACAAAATTCCGCTCATGAATTTCACAACGAGGATCGACAGAGCACTCCGTCTGGCACAAAAAGATATGTTCACTTCTGCAAACGGAGGTAGGGTCGGAGTTAGTAAATTGATCATCTTGTTGACCGACGGCTCTCAAACCCCAGGTGGGGATGCAGAAGACCCAGAAAGGATAGCAGATGAGCTGCGCAACGACGGCGTTGTGATTCTCGGTGTTGGTATCGGTTCAGCAGTAAATGAAACTGAGCTGAGCCACATTACTGGCGGTAAAAAGAACGCATACACTGCTGCTACGTTTGATTCTCTAACTGACAACGAGTTTATTCATAAGATCAAGAATGGCTCTTGTGAAATAGGTATTTTTTTGTTATTTCTATTAGCAAAAATGTCACGTTTTGTTTGTGCATTAAAAAAAGAAGAAAAACTTGTTTGTGCTGCTGTTTGATTGTTTTTAATAAGAGGAAGTGCGTTGTCATCGTATTTTTTTTGTTTTGTTTTGTTGTTTGTTTGTTTTTTCGGTTCTTTTTGCGGTTGTACTGGTTTGTAGCTTAGTTTTGCAATGAACGATTAGTCTTGGTGTCGTGTCTTGTAATGGAGGTTGTTTTGCGCTTGCCTTGTACAATTTGGTTTGTTACACCAACTTATGCGGTGTGTTGTTTTGTGCTTTATAAAATGATTACGAGGATACGTCGTAGCATCTTTGAAAGGAGAGAAGCCGATAGTTGAAGAAAAAAGAAAGAAAAACAGTTTCATTTTTTCTTTATCTATGCAATTTGAAGTTTTGTGTTGAGCAAAGAGTGTAATTTGATCAAAATTGTTTCGTTTAGTGTCGTCCGTCTTGCAATCGACGCCAACGATAGCTACTACTCAAGCCTCTTCTACTGGTATGTCTGAACTTTATTTTTATTACTGTTTGTTTTTTGAATCGCTTTGGTCTCGTTTTTATGTTGGCTTTCTTCACGAAAACAGTTGAATGGGCTGTCTTCTGATTAAAGCGGCAGTAATTTTGTTTATGTTGTGCTGTGTGTATGTACAATGTTTGATTGATTTACCTGGTCAAAGCGATAAAATGTTTTCTCGTTTAGATGGTCATGTGCAACCCAGGTGTGAAGCCGTCGTCGATGTTGCATTTATTTTGGATTCTTCGCACAGTTTAGAGGCGAGCTATCAAAAAGAAAAGAACTTCTTAAAGAAATTGGCTGCTGTGTTTGGAATCAGCTCAAACGGTTCGAGAGTAGGAGTCATTACATTCAGCTATCGCGCCGAACTCAGTGTCAAACTCAACAGTTTTACTGACTTGAGTAGCTTTAACGAAGCTGTAGACAAAATTCCGCTCATGAATTTCACAACGAGGATCGACAGAGCACTCCGTCTGGCACAAAAAGATATGTTCACTTCTGCAAACGGAGGTAGGGTCGGAGTTAGTAAATTGATCATCTTGTTGACCGACGGCTCTCAAACCCCAGGTGGGGATGCAGAAGACCCAGAAAGGATAGCAGATGAGCTGCGCAACGACGGCGTTGTGATTCTCGGTGTTGGTATCGGTTCAGCAGTAAATGAAACTGAGCTGAGCCACATTACTGGCGGTAAAAAGAACGCATACACTGCTGCTACGTTTGATTCTCTAACTGACAACGAGTTTATTCATAAGATCAAGAATGGCTCTTGTGAAATAGGTATTTTTTTGTTATTTCTATTAGCAAAAATGTCACGTTTTGTTTGTGCATTAAAAAAAGAAGAAAAACTTGTTTGTGCTGCTGTTTGATTGTTTTTAATAAGAGGAAGTGCGTTGTCATCGTATTTTTTTTGTTTTGTTTTGTTGTTTGTTTGTTTTTTCGGTTCTTTTTGCGGTTGTACTGGTTTGTAGCTTAGTTTTGCAATGAACGATTAGTCTTGGTGTCGTGTCTTGTAATGGAGGTTGTTTTGCGCTTGCCTTGTACAATTTGGTTTGTTACACCAACTTATGCGGTGTGTTGTTTTGTGCTTTATAAAATGATTACGAGGATACGTCGTAGCATCTTTGAAAGGAGAGAAGCCGATAGTTGAAGAAAAAAGAAAGAAAAACAGTTTCATTTTTTCTTTATCTATGCAATTTGAAGTTTTGTGTTGAGCAAAGAGTGTAATTTGATCAAAATTGTTTCGTTTAGTGTCGTCCGTCTTGCAATCGACGCCAACGATAGCTACTACTCAAGCCTCTTCTACTGGTATGTCTGAACTTTATTTTTATTACTGTTTGTTTTTTGAATCGCTTTGGTCTCGTTTTTATGTTGGCTTTCTTCACGAAAACAGTTGAATGGGCTGTCTTCTGATTAAAGCGGCAGTAATTTTGTTTATGTTGTGCTGTGTGTATGTACAATGTTTGATTGATTTACCTGGTCAAAGCGATAAAATGTTTTCTCGTTTAGATGGTCATGTGCAACCCAGGTGTGAAGCCGTCGTCGATGTTGCATTTATTTTGGATTCTTCGCACAGTTTAGAGGCGAGCTATCAAAAAGAAAAGAACTTCTTAAAGAAATTGGCTGCTGTGTTTGGAATCAGCTCAAACGGTTCGAGAGTAGGAGTCATTACATTCAGCTATCGCGCCGAACTCAGTGTCAAACTCAACAGTTTTACTGACTTGAGTAGCTTTAACGAAGCTGTAGACAAAATTCCGCTCATGAATTTCACAACGAGGATCGACAGAGCACTCCGTCTGGCACAAAAAGATATGTTCACTTCTGCAAACGGAGGTAGGGTCGGAGTTAGTAAATTGATCATCTTGTTGACCGACGGCTCTCAAACCCCAGGTGGGGATGCAGAAGACCCAGAAAGGATAGCAGATGAGCTGCGCAACGACGGCGTTGTGATTCTCGGTGTTGGTATCGGTTCAGCAGTAAATGAAACTGAGCTGAGCCACATTACTGGCGGTAAAAAGAACGCATACACTGCTGCTACGTTTGATTCTCTAACTGACAACGAGTTTATTCATAAGATCAAGAATGGCTCTTGTGAAATAGGTATTTTTTTGTTATTTCTATTAGCAAAAATGTCACGTTTTGTTTGTGCATTAAAAAAAGAAGAAAAACTTGTTTGTGCTGCTGTTTGATTGTTTTTAATAAGAGGAAGTGCGTTGTCATCGTATTTTTTTTGTTTTGTTTTGTTGTTTGTTTGTTTTTTCGGTTCTTTTTGCGGTTGTACTGGTTTGTAGCTTAGTTTTGCAATGAACGATTAGTCTTGGTGTCGTGTCTTGTAATGGAGGTTGTTTTGCGCTTGCCTTGTACAATTTGGTTTGTTACACCAACTTATGCGGTGTGTTGTTTTGTGCTTTATAAAATGATTACGAGGATACGTCGTAGCATCTTTGAAAGGAGAGAAGCCGATAGTTGAAGAAAAAAGAAAGAAAAACAGTTTCATTTTTTCTTTATCTATGCAATTTGAAGTTTTGTGTTGAGCAAAGAGTGTAATTTGATCAAAATTGTTTCGTTTAGTGTCGTCCGTCTTGCAATCGACGCCAACGATAGCTACTACTCAAGCCTCTTCTACTGGTATGTCTGAACTTTATTTTTATTACTGTTTGTTTTTTGAATCGCTTTGGTCTCGTTTTTATGTTGGCTTTCTTCACGAAAACAGTTGAATGGGCTGTCTTCTGATTAAAGCGGCAGTAATTTTGTTTATGTTGTGCTGTGTGTATGTACAATGTTTGATTGATTTACCTGGTCAAAGCGATAAAATGTTTTCTCGTTTAGATGGTCATGTGCAACCCAGGTGTGAAGCCGTCGTCGATGTTGCATTTATTTTGGATTCTTCGCACAGTTTAGAGGCGAGCTATCAAAAAGAAAAGAACTTCTTAAAGAAATTGGCTGCTGTGTTTGGAATCAGCTCAAACGGTTCGAGAGTAGGAGTCATTACATTCAGCTATCGCGCCGAACTCAGTGTCAAACTCAACAGTTTTACTGACTTGAGTAGCTTTAACGAAGCTGTAGACAAAATTCCGCTCATGAATTTCACAACGAGGATCGACAGAGCACTCCGTCTGGCACAAAAAGATATGTTCACTTCTGCAAACGGAGGTAGGGTCGGAGTTAGTAAATTGATCATCTTGTTGACCGACGGCTCTCAAACCCCAGGTGGGGATGCAGAAGACCCAGAAAGGATAGCAGATGAGCTGCGCAACGACGGCGTTGTGATTCTCGGTGTTGGTATCGGTTCAGCAGTAAATGAAACTGAGCTGAGCCACATTACTGGCGGTAAAAAGAACGCATACACTGCTGCTACGTTTGATTCTCTAACTGACAACGAGTTTATTCATAAGATCAAGAATGGCTCTTGTGAAATAGGTATTTTTTTGTTATTTCTATTAGCAAAAATGTCACGTTTTGTTTGTGCATTAAAAAAAGAAGAAAAACTTGTTTGTGCTGCTGTTTGATTGTTTTTAATAAGAGGAAGTGCGTTGTCATCGTATTTTTTTTGTTTTGTTTTGTTGTTTGTTTGTTTTTTCGGTTCTTTTTGCGGTTGTACTGGTTTGTAGCTTAGTTTTGCAATGAACGATTAGTCTTGGTGTCGTGTCTTGTAATGGAGGTTGTTTTGCGCTTGCCTTGTACAATTTGGTTTGTTACACCAACTTATGCGGTGTGTTGTTTTGTGCTTTATAAAATGATTACGAGGATACGTCGTAGCATCTTTGAAAGGAGAGAAGCCGATAGTTGAAGAAAAAAGAAAGAAAAACAGTTTCATTTTTTCTTTATCTATGCAATTTGAAGTTTTGTGTTGAGCAAAGAGTGTAATTTGATCAAAATTGTTTCGTTTAGTGTCGTCCGTCTTGCAATCGACGCCAACGATAGCTACTACTCAAGCCTCTTCTACTGGTATGTCTGAACTTTATTTTTATTACTGTTTGTTTTTTGAATCGCTTTGGTCTCGTTTTTATGTTGGCTTTCTTCACGAAAACAGTTGAATGGGCTGTCTTCTGATTAAAGCGGCAGTAATTTTGTTTATGTTGTGCTGTGTGTATGTACAATGTTTGATTGATTTACCTGGTCAAAGCGATAAAATGTTTTCTCGTTTAGATGGTCATGTGCAACCCAGGTGTGAAGCCGTCGTCGATGTTGCATTTATTTTGGATTCTTCGCACAGTTTAGAGGCGAGCTATCAAAAAGAAAAGAACTTCTTAAAGAAATTGGCTGCTGTGTTTGGAATCAGCTCAAACGGTTCGAGAGTAGGAGTCATTACATTCAGCTATCGCGCCGAACTCAGTGTCAAACTCAACAGTTTTACTGACTTGAGTAGCTTTAACGAAGCTGTAGACAAAATTCCGCTCATGAATTTCACAACGAGGATCGACAGAGCACTCCGTCTGGCACAAAAAGATATGTTCACTTCTGCAAACGGAGGTAGGGTCGGAGTTAGTAAATTGATCATCTTGTTGACCGACGGCTCTCAAACCCCAGGTGGGGATGCAGAAGACCCAGAAAGGATAGCAGATGAGCTGCGCAACGACGGCGTTGTGATTCTCGGTGTTGGTATCGGTTCAGCAGTAAATGAAACTGAGCTGAGCCACATTACTGGCGGTAAAAAGAACGCATACACTGCTGCTACGTTTGATTCTCTAACTGACAACGAGTTTATTCATAAGATCAAGAATGGCTCTTGTGAAATAGGTATTTTTTTGTTATTTCTATTAGCAAAAATGTCACGTTTTGTTTGTGCATTAAAAAAAGAAGAAAAACTTGTTTGTGCTGCTGTTTGATTGTTTTTAATAAGAGGAAGTGTGTTGTCATCGTATTTTTTTTGTTTTGTTTTGTTGTTTGTTTGTTTTTTCGGTTCTTTTTGCGGTTGTACTGGTTTGTAGCTTAGTTTTGCAATGAACGATTAGTCTTGGTGTCGTGTCTTGTAATGGAGGTTGTTTTGCGCTTGCCTTGTACAATTTGGTTTGTTACACCAACTTATGCGGTGTGTTGTTTTGTGCTTTATAAAATGATTACGAGGATACGTCGTAGCATCTTTGAAAGGAGAGAAGCCGATAGTTGAAGAAAAAAGAAAGAAAAACAGTTTCATTTTTTCTTTATCTATGCAATTTGAAGTTTTGTGTTGAGCAAAGAGTGTAATTTGATCAAAATTGTTTCGTTTAGTGTCGTCCGTCTTGCAATCGACGCCAACGATAGCTACTACTCAAGCCTCTTCTACTGGTATGTCTGAACTTTATTTTTATTACTGTTTGTTTTTTGAATCGCTTTGGTCTCGTTTTTATGTTGGCTTTCTTCACGAAAACAGTTGAATGGGCTGTCTTCTGATTAAAGCGGCAGTAATTTTGTTTATGTTGTGCTGTGTGTATGTACAATGTTTGATTGATTTACCTGGTCAAAGCGATAAAATGTTTTCTCGTTTAGATGGTCATGTGCAACCCAGGTGTGAAGCCGTCGTCGATGTTGCATTTATTTTGGATTCTTCGCACAGTTTAGAGGCGAGCTATCAAAAAGAAAAGAACTTCTTAAAGAAATTGGCTGCTGTGTTTGGAATCAGCTCAAACGGTTCGAGAGTAGGAGTCATTACATTCAGCTATCGCGCCGAACTCAGTGTCAAACTCAACAGTTTTACTGACTTGAGTAGCTTTAACGAAGCTGTAGACAAAATTCCGCTCATGAATTTCACAACGAGGATCGACAGAGCACTCCGTCTGGCACAAAAAGATATGTTCACTTCTGCAAACGGAGGTAGGGTCGGAGTTAGTAAATTGATCATCTTGTTGACCGACGGCTCTCAAACCCCAGGTGGGGATGCAGAAGACCCAGAAAGGATAGCTGATGAGCTGCGCAACGACGGCGTTGTGATTCTCGGTGTTGGTATCGGTTCAGCAGTAAATGAAACTGAGCTGAGCCACATTACTGGCGGTAAAAAGAACGCATACACTGCTGCTACGTTTGATTCTCTAACTGACAACGAGTTTATTCATAAGATCAAGAATGGCTCTTGTGAAATAGGTATTTTTTTGTTATTTCTATTAGCAAAAATGTCACGTTTTGTTTGTGCATTAAAAAAAGAAGAAAAACTTGTTTGTGCTGCTGTTTGATTGTTTTTAATAAGAGGAAGTGCGTTGTCATCGTATTTTTTTGTTTTGTTTTGTTGTTTGTTTGTTTTTTCGGTTCTTTTTGCGGTTGTACTGGTTTGTAGCTTAGTTTTGCAATGAACGATTAGTCTTGGTGTCGTGTCTTGTAATGGAGGTTGTTTTGCGCTTGCCTTGTACAATTTGGTTTGTTACACCAACTTATGCGGTGTGTTGTTTTGTGCTTTATAAAATGATTACGAGGATACGTCGTAGCATCTTTGAAAGGAGAGAAGCCGATAGTTGAAGAAAAAAGAAAGAAAAACAGTTTCATTTTTTCTTTATCTATGCAATTTGAAGTTTTGTGTTGAGCAAAGAGTGTAATTTGATCAAAATTGTTTCGTTTAGTGTCGTCCGTCTTGCAATCGACGCCAACGATAGCTACTACTCAAGCCTCTTCTACTGGTATGTCTGAACTTTATTTTTATTACTGTTTGTTTTTTGAATCGCTTTGGTCTCGTTTTTATGTTGGCTTTCTTCACGAAAACAGTTGAATGGGCTGTCTTCTGATTAAAGCGGCAGTAATTTTGTTTATGTTGTGCTGTGTGTATGTACAATGTTTGATTGATTTACCTGGTCAAAGCGATAAAATGTTTTCTCGTTTAGATGGTCATGTGCAACCCAGGTGTGAAGCCGTCGTCGATGTTGCATTTATTTTGGATTCTTCGCACAGTTTAGAGGCGAGCTATCAAAAAGAAAAGAACTTCTTAAAGAAATTGGCTGCTGTGTTTGGAATCAGCTCAAACGGTTCGAGAGTAGGAGTCATTACATTCAGCTATCGCGCCGAACTCAGTGTCAAACTCAACAGTTTTACTGACTTGAGTAGCTTTAACGAAGCTGTAGACAAAATTCCGCTCATGAATTTCACAACGAGGATCGACAGAGCACTCCGTCTGGCACAAAAAGATATGTTCACTTCTGCAAACGGAGGTAGGGTCGGAGTTAGTAAATTGATCATCTTGTTGACCGACGGCTCTCAAACCCCAGGTGGGGATGCAGAAGACCCAGAAAGGATAGCAGATGAGCTGCGCAACGACGGCGTTGTGATTCTCGGTGTTGGTATCGGTTCAGCAGTAAATGAAACTGAGCTGAGCCACATTACTGGCGGTAAAAAGAACGCATACACTGCTGCTACGTTTGATTCTCTAACTGACAACGAGTTTATTCATAAGATCAAGAATGGCTCTTGTGAAATAGGTATTTTTTTGTTATTTCTATTAGCAAAAATGTCACGTTTTGTTTGTGCATTAAAAAAAGAAGAAAAACTTGTTTGTGCTGCTGTTTGATTGTTTTTAATAAGAGGAAGTGCGTTGTCATCGTATTTTTTTTGTTTTGTTTTGTTGTTTGTTTGTTTTTTCGGTTCTTTTTGCGGTTGTACTGGTTTGTAGCTTAGTTTTGCAATGAACGATTAGTCTTGGTGTCGTGTCTTGTAATGGAGGTTGTTTTGCGCTTGCCTTGTACAATTTGGTTTGTTACACCAACTTATGCGGTGTGTTGTTTTGTGCTTTATAAAATGATTACGAGGATACGTCGTAGCATCTTTGAAAGGAGAGAAGCCGATAGTTGAAGAAAAAAGAAAGAAAAACAGTTTCATTTTTTCTTTATCTATGCAATTTGAAGTTTTGTGTTGAGCAAAGAGTGTAATTTGATCAAAATTGTTTCGTTTAGTGTCGTCCGTCTTGCAATCGACGCCAACGATAGCTACTACTCAAGCCTCTTCTACTGGTATGTCTGAACTTTATTTTTATTACTGTTTGTTTTTTGAATCGCTTTGGTCTCGTTTTTATGTTGGCTTTCTTCACGAAAACAGTTGAATGGGCTGTCTTCTGATTAAAGCGGCAGTAATTTTGTTTATGTTGTGCTGTGTGTATGTACAATGTTTGATTGATTTACCTGGTCAAAGCGATAAAATGTTTTCTCGTTTAGATGGTCATGTGCAACCCAGGTGTGAAGCCGTCGTCGATGTTGCATTTATTTTGGATTCTTCGCACAGTTTAGAGGCGAGCTATCAAAAAGAAAAGAACTTCTTAAAGAAATTGGCTGCTGTGTTTGGAATCAGCTCAAACGGTTCGAGAGTAGGAGTCATTACATTCAGCTATCGCGCCGAACTCAGTGTCAAACTCAACAGTTTTACTGACTTGAGTAGCTTTAACGAAGCTGTAGACAAAATTCCGCTCATGAATTTCACAACGAGGATCGACAGAGCACTCCGTCTGGCACAAAAAGATATGTTCACTTCTGCAAACGGAGGTAGGGTCGGAGTTAGTAAATTGATCATCTTGTTGACCGACGGCTCTCAAACCCCAGGTGGGGATGCAGAAGACCCAGAAAGGATAGCAGATGAGCTGCGCAACGACGGCGTTGTGATTCTCGGTGTTGGTATCGGTTCAGCAGTAAATGAAACTGAGCTGAGCCACATTACTGGCGGTAAAAAGAACGCATACACTGCTGCTACGTTTGATTCTCTAACTGACAACGAGTTTATTCATAAGATCAAGAATGGCTCTTGTGAAATAGGTATTTTTTTGTTATTTCTATTAGCAAAAATGTCACGTTTTGTTTGTGCATTAAAAAAAGAAGAAAAACTTGTTTGTGCTGCTGTTTGATTGTTTTTAATAAGAGGAAGTGCGTTGTCATCGTATTTTTTTTGTTTTGTTTTGTTGTTTGTTTGTTTTTTCGGTTCTTTTTGCGGTTGTACTGGTTTGTAGCTTAGTTTTGCAATGAACGATTAGTCTTGGTGTCGTGTCTTGTAATGGAGGTTGTTTTGCGCTTGCCTTGTACAATTTGGTTTGTTACACCAACTTATGCGGTGTGTTGTTTTGTGCTTTATAAAATGATTACGAGGATACGTCGTAGCATCTTTGAAAGGAGAGAAGCCGATAGTTGAAGAAAAAAGAAAGAAAAACAGTTTCATTTTTTCTTTATCTATGCAATTTGAAGTTTTGTGTTGAGCAAAGAGTGTAATTTGATCAAAATTGTTTCGTTTAGTGTCGTCCGTCTTGCAATCGACGCCAACGATAGCTACTACTCAAGCCTCTTCTACTGGTATGTCTGAACTTTATTTTTATTACTGTTTGTTTTTTGAATCGCTTTGGTCTCGTTTTTATGTTGGCTTTCTTCACGAAAACAGTTGAATGGGCTGTCTTCTGATTAAAGCGGCAGTAATTTTGTTTATGTTGTGCTGTGTGTATGTACAATGTTTGATTGATTTACCTGGTCAAAGCGATAAAATGTTTTCTCGTTTAGATGGTCATGTGCAACCCAGGTGTGAAGCCGTCGTCGATGTTGCATTTATTTTGGATTCTTCGCACAGTTTAGAGGCGAGCTATCAAAAAGAAAAGAACTTCTTAAAGAAATTGGCTGCTGTGTTTGGAATCAGCTCAAACGGTTCGAGAGTAGGAGTCATTACATTCAGCTATCGCGCCGAACTCAGTGTCAAACTCAACAGTTTTACTGACTTGAGTAGCTTTAACGAAGCTGTAGACAAAATTCCGCTCATGAATTTCACAACGAGGATCGACAGAGCACTCCGTCTGGCACAAAAAGATATGTTCACTTCTGCAAACGGAGGTAGGGTCGGAGTTAGTAAATTGATCATCTTGTTGACCGACGGCTCTCAAACCCCAGGTGGGGATGCAGAAGACCCAGAAAGGATAGCAGATGAGCTGCGCAACGACGGCGTTGTGATTCTCGGTGTTGGTATCGGTTCAGCAGTAAATGAAACTGAGCTGAGCCACATTACTGGCGGTAAAAAGAACGCATACACTGCTGCTACGTTTGATTCTCTAACTGACAACGAGTTTATTCATAAGATCAAGAATGGCTCTTGTGAAATAGGTATTTTTTTGTTATTTCTATTAGCAAAAATGTCACGTTTTGTTTGTGCATTAAAAAAAGAAGAAAAACTTGTTTGTGCTGCTGTTTGATTGTTTTTAATAAGAGGAAGTGCGTTGTCATCGTATTTTTTTTGTTTTGTTTTGTTGTTTGTTTGTTTTTTCGGTTCTTTTTGCGGTTGTACTGGTTTGTAGCTTAGTTTTGCAATGAACGATTAGTCTTGGTGTCGTGTCTTGTAATGGAGGTTGTTTTGCGCTTGCCTTGTACAATTTGGTTTGTTACACCAACTTATGCGGTGTGTTGTTTTGTGCTTTATAAAATGATTACGAGGATACGTCGTAGCATCTTTGAAAGGAGAGAAGCCGATAGTTGAAGAAAAAAGAAAGAAAAACAGTTTCATTTTTTCTTTATCTATGCAATTTGAAGTTTTGTGTTGAGCAAAGAGTGTAATTTGATCAAAATTGTTTCGTTTAGTGTCGTCCGTCTTGCAATCGACGCCAACGATAGCTACTACTCAAGCCTCTTCTACTGGTATGTCTGAACTTTATTTTTATTACTGTTTGTTTTTTGAATCGCTTTGGTCTCGTTTTTATGTTGGCTTTCTTCACGAAAACAGTTGAATGGGCTGTCTTCTGATTAAAGCGGCAGTAATTTTGTTTATGTTGTGCTGTGTGTATGTACAATGTTTGATTGATTTACCTGGTCAAAGCGATAAAATGTTTTCTCGTTTAGATGGTCATGTGCAACCCAGGTGTGAAGCCGTCGTCGATGTTGCATTTATTTTGGATTCTTCGCACAGTTTAGAGGCGAGCTATCAAAAAGAAAAGAACTTCTTAAAGAAATTGGCTGCTGTGTTTGGAATCAGCTCAAACGGTTCGAGAGTAGGAGTCATTACATTCAGCTATCGCGCCGAACTCAGTGTCAAACTCAACAGTTTTACTGACTTGAGTAGCTTTAACGAAGCTGTAGACAAAATTCCGCTCATGAATTTCACAACGAGGATCGACAGAGCACTCCGTCTGGCACAAAAAGATATGTTCACTTCTGCAAACGGAGGTAGGGTCGGAGTTAGTAAATTGATCATCTTGTTGACCGACGGCTCTCAAACCCCAGGTGGGGATGCAGAAGACCCAGAAAGGATAGCAGATGAGCTGCGCAACGACGGCGTTGTGATTCTCGGTGTTGGTATCGGTTCAGCAGTAAATGAAACTGAGCTGAGCCACATTACTGGCGGTAAAAAGAACGCATACACTGCTGCTACGTTTGATTCTCTAACTGACAACGAGTTTATTCATAAGATCAAGAATGGCTCTTGTGAAATAGGTATTTTTTTGTTATTTCTATTAGCAAAAATGTCACGTTTTGTTTGTGCATTAAAAAAAGAAGAAAAACTTGTTTGTGCTGCTGTTTGATTGTTTTTAATAAGAGGAAGTGCGTTGTCATCGTATTTTTTTTGTTTTGTTTTGTTGTTTGTTTGTTTTTTCGGTTCTTTTTGCGGTTGTACTGGTTTGTAGCTTAGTTTTGCAATGAACGATTAGTCTTGGTGTCGTGTCTTGTAATGGAGGTTGTTTTGCGCTTGCCTTGTACAATTTGGTTTGTTACACCAACTTATGCGGTGTGTTGTTTTGTGCTTTATAAAATGATTACGAGGATACGTCGTAGCATCTTTGAAAGGAGAGAAGCCGATAGTTGAAGAAAAAAGAAAGAAAAACAGTTTCATTTTTTCTTTATCTATGCAATTTGAAGTTTTGTGTTGAGCAAAGAGTGTAATTTGATCAAAATTGTTTCGTTTAGTGTCGTCCGTCTTGCAATCGACGCCAACGATAGCTACTACTCAAGCCTCTTCTACTGGTATGTCTGAACTTTATTTTTATTACTGTTTGTTTTTTGAATCGCTTTGGTCTCGTTTTTATGTTGGCTTTCTTCACGAAAACAGTTGAATGGGCTGTCTTCTGATTAAAGCGGCAGTAATTTTGTTTATGTTGTGCTGTGTGTATGTACAATGTTTGATTGATTTTTCTGGTCAAAGAGATAAAGTTTCTTTTTTATTATAATGAGTTTTTATTTATATATATATTTTTTTTGTTCTTTTGTTTAGTTTTTATAACTGTATTACTAGCAATAAAGTTAAATTATATTTAGGAAAGCTTGCTCATTGAAATTAGATAGTAGATCTTAAGTAACCAATTGAAATTAATTGGTTACTTAAGATCTACTATCCGTCGGGTTTTTTTATTTGGATTTGTTATTTTTTTTTTTTTTTTTTTTTTTTTTTTTGTTTCTATACTATTTGTTCTTTTTTTATCAGTATTTTCTAGTTAACTCCTAAAGTTTGGTTAAAAGATGTTGTCATGTTTTTTACTTCTTTAGCAGCGTTTCCTACTTATTATAGTTTTAGTTATAGACATCTATTTACCCTTTATTCCCCATACTTTCTTACTCACACACTTCTATTTGTGTAGGAACATGTTAGTAGAATTGTTTTATATATTGTTTAAGGTTCAATACAGGAGCTTTTATAAAATCAATAATTTCTTTAACAGAAATATTGTCTTATATTATTATATATATTTATTTAAAATTTAATGTTTTACTCATTTATTTATATATCAACAAAATATAACAATATTCAGTTGTTTAACTTAAAATTGCACTGATCAATTATGCAAGTGATGGCCTGTTTTATATCAACCATTTACTTATTTTTATTTATAGTCTGTTTCAAAATTTTTTAATAAATGGTAGATGATATTTATTTTTTAGATTGGCTCTAGTGTATCAATGAATTTTTTATACTCTATAAATTCTAATTGCATTAATATGGATTTTAAAAAATTAAATTTTACTGTCTAGGATACTATCTATTGTTTTCTAGGAGTTATAGTTTTACTTAAAGCGTTTTGCAAATGCAGACTAAACTAATTAATTAACTATAAACATGTTGAACAGAACAGATGCCTAAAAACTTAAACTCTTTATGTTTAACATTTTTATAATTTTTTTCTTTAAAATATGACTGCTGTAACTAGGATACTGACTGATAGTTGACTGCTGTTTACTCCTCCCCTAGGATACTTGCAATAAATTTATAATGCATAAAAAAAGGAAATATCAAATAAAATGAACAAATATATATCTTTATAATAATTATTAAATGATATAGTTAAATATGTAAAAATATATCTTTTTAACAAATTAACAAAAATATATGAACTGAGGAAAATATTTCAATTGTCTTTTTTGTTTTAATATAACACGTAAATATGTCATATGATAAATCTAAAATAAAAATAATAATTGAATGATGACAAAATTATGTCAAAGCAAATAAAATACATCTTGTATAAAAACTGTAAATCGAATTACCTGTTTTGGTTCCTTTTTGTGATGTTGCAGTTGTTATAAAGATTTATTGAAAAGCTAAAAGAGTTTCAAAGAGAAAAAGTATTTAAAAAAAGCAAGTATTAACAATACTAAAGATAAAAAATCAAATTAGGATATAAACTCCATTTATAGCATGTTGTCTTTGCTTTTAGTGAATAATTAAAATGAGTAAGTCCCAATAATGAAACTATCAATTATTCATTTTTAAAAATAGACACCAACGGGAAGATAAGGCAAGTTGTCAATCAACACTAAAAATCACAAAAATGACATTATAACAACACAAAAATAGGACATGTAGCATTAGACATTTGTAAGTACACATTACCTTATCTAAATACTAACAGATATTATGTGTTTTCATAAAAGGCTAGACAATACCACCTTTCTCTAAAGCAGTAACACTGATTGACTCTGAACTCTGCCAAACCCCACAGCTTGACTGGCAAGGTTAACAATCTTGCTCTACAAGTTGTCTAGTCATACTAATTGGAAAACATAGAAACAGCATAATATAAACATATATACAATCCATAAAGCGTATAACTTTATATAACACATATAACCTTACATTACACATGCAAACACATATAATAATTATGAAGATATATGATAAATGTAATGATTAAAACCTATGAAAAAAAAGCAAAAAAAATAACTGAAGTCTAACATGTGCTCACAATCTACAAATAACCTTTTGAATTGAAAAATCTAAAAACTATAAATAAAGAAAATAAGAGAACTTTATTTGTTTAACATTTTTCTTCTACCACATCTTTAATAGAATTTTTATAAATATTGAAAAACAAACTGTTAAATGCTTCTTGAATGTTCTTGAACATGCAACATATAGTTGAGCATGAGAAAAAAATGTTTTTTTTTAAATGTATTCCAACTCTATCAAATATTTGACTTTTTATTAGTTGCCATTGAGTATGCCAATCTGTCAGAAAACTGTTAGTGTTTTAGAGCAAAAGGTTAATTAGAATCTGATGGAGCCAGCTGAATTTGTGGAACAAATTTACCGCCAGAAACACCTATCAAAACCTCTAGATCAATAAATTTATTTTAAAGAGCATAAACATTCTATTGTCATTGCATGTGTTTTGTGATCTAAATTTCTGTGTAACATAATTACAGAACCAATTTTTAATTTTAAACAATGAGTTGGCATACTGAAGGAGTTAAGCTGTTTAAAAAGTCAACAAGAAAGTTATTTATGTACTTGGTTATTTTACTTAAAAGTAATGCTATTGAGAAAAGTAATTATGTTTTAGCATTTATTTTGAAAGTCTCTGAAATTAACTGTTTTTTTATTTTAAATATGTGTTTTTTATAATAAATAAAATCAGTCACAAAATTATTTTGAAAAAAAATTGCTGAAATAATGCATTTGTCAAAGAAAAATTAAAAAAATGTGTATCCTATTAGTTTTTTAATAAAATTTAAAATTTGCACCACCAAGTTTTATTAAATTTCATTGCACTTTAAAACAACCTAAGTTACTTACGTTTTTAAACATCAATTTCTGGGAAAAAAAATCTGAGGGGAGAGGGGTGAAAGGGGCAAACTCTTTATGACCCTTTCACTCACAATGGGTTCACCCTTATATTAGCCTATTTATTTATGGGAAGATAAGATACAGATTAATATAGCTATGGATAATTTTTTTTTTTTACTTTCGCTTTCAATTAAGTTTACATTAATTAATAAATGTTTTGATTTTTTTCCTGGTTTTTCCTCTGTTTATTTTATCATTGTTTAAAATTTTTATTTTTTTAGGTTAATTTTTGTATTATATAAATTTTTAAGGATATTATTCTCTTTCCAGTTTATGGATTGGTTATTTTAATTTGCTTTGTTTTTTTAGCGCATTTTTTAAACGCACTAATTATTAAAACTTGCAAAGAGCTGTGATCAAGTTAATAAAACAAAGAACTATATGCTTAGTCATATACAGTGTGCAACCACACGCCTCTTACGCAAAGGCCTGTAAAAGATTGGGTAAAGTACTTTCAATCTTGTTGTAAACTAAACTAGATCAAAAAATATAAATGTAATTCAAAAATCTATATACAGATTTTTTCTGAGGTTTTTTTAGGTGCTCCAAGAGGACCTAACAGAGCACTGCCTAAGAGCATTTAACTTGGAAGTTTACACTTGCTTGTAAAAAAATGTTAAAAAAAAAGCCTTGAGTAGGAATCTAACTGTAATTTATTGTCTGCTTTAAATTTATCTATTTATGTATGTATTTATATATATATATGTATATATATATATATATATATATATATATATATATATATATATATATATATATATAATATATATTAGGGTGTGTCGATTTTTGATTTTTTTTGAGAAAAAAATTGGGGAGTTACTAAAAAGTTGCAAAATTTGATGGAGAATCCAAATATGTTTTTAAAAATTGAATAAAAAATTTTTTTGCTTGAGTGATTTAACTTTTTATATTTCAATAAAATTTTGACCTGGTTTCTCAAAAAAAACCGGTTTTTACTTGGAAATTATTAAGCTTTTTTTCTACTTTGTTTGATAAATATCAGTTGAAATATAAATGTTGATTAAAACTAATTTTAATATTATAATACTTTCTTTAAGAATTTGTATAAAATATAAATGAAATATTTCTTATTTCAAAATTAGACTTTGAAATTAATTTTTAATATGCATATTAATTTAAAACTGAAATTAGATAGAGATTAATTTATAAATATTAAAATATTTTTCAATTTATTTTAAATACAGTTTGTCTTAACATCGCGTAATAATTTTTTGGTATTGATGCTAGAAATACAGCAAGATATTTAAAAAAAAAACGAATTATTTTAATAAATATTACAAATTTAATACAAAAACATATGCGTCAAACTTTCAAGGTCTTGTTTACTATTATTTTTAGGCATTAACTTTCTCTTGACTTTAACTCACCTTTTGAGTTCTCTTTAACTTTAACTTGCCTCTTGAGTTCGGACAAATCCTTCTCTCTTTTCATGAGTGTACACTCTACTTGAAACTTCTGTAACTTGCTTTACGCAACGTTCAACAGATTGTCCATGACATGGCCAAATCGGCACCTGCATAAGATTTGAATAATTTCAGAAGTTGTTAGAGAGGTAGTTAAGACTGGTTCATAAACCGGTGACTCCCATGATATCAGGTCTACCAATTTTTCAGCATTAAAGTTCAGAACAGGTGTTTTTCTTAGTCTAGGAGAGCAATCACTTTTGTTTAGATCTTCATTTCCAGTACCTCTAATATCTTTTATCTTATTAATAGCTACGCTTCTATCCTCTTCAGTATTAGAACACAACAATGTTTGTAGTATACACTCACTGAAACAAAACCAAGCTGATCTTTGAATAGAGGGTGATACTATTTTAATGACATCTTCTTTTTGAAATTTAAGTTGCTGCAGTTGGTAAAGTACATGTTTAGGACCTTCAATC